AACCTTTACATGCTTGACCATGGCACAATGGATATGATACACCACTGTTACTCAAATCTGTCTTTCTGAACACTCACAATATTAAGCTTGAGCCTGCCAGGGACTCTCAGCCCAGCCCATCACTGACTGAAATGTTTTCCATCAGTATTGTTGCAATTGACCAGGAAAAAACATTACCAAAATCTAGGTCACCAATAAAGCAGGTACAAGAGTGAAAAGAGTTAAAAAACAGAGATTTTACATTTTTATTAAGACGACACAGAACTTTGTTATAAGTCAGAGTACGCTTAGCTAAGCTGACCCATTTCTGTGAGAATGCAACTTGTGTCATGCAGAGAAACTAAGTAGGATTTCTTGCAGTACCAAATTAGCTGTGATTTTCAACTAGTAATTGAAAGATTCTGTCTGCAATCCAAAACACAGTTAAAGAAAAGGAAAAGTTACTTTACCCATACTATTACTTAGAGCTATATAATCCTTAAACCCCCCTGACTTATCCTCCAACAGAACAAATGTACCACATATTGCAGGAAGTATTCATCTATCAACGAGAAATATAATATGTTCAACTACTTTAAAAGAATTGTGTAACTTTGGTACTGAGTTTCTGCTCATGTCTACATCTCTACACTTTCATACAGGAATTCTGGGGCTTGGAAGTTTCATTGTCTTAATCTATCTATGTAGTTACTTATATGAGCTCACATCACTGAAGTGTCTGAATAAAAAAAATAGATTTTTATCCACACAATCCCTGTGAAGTGGGGAAGTATTATTCCTATTTTACAGATTAGGAATTGAGGCACAGGTTAGACTAAACTTTGTCACTTACTGATGTTGGCAGAGCTCTGGGAATAGTATTTGCTGATTAAAATGCTGCACAGAGTACAGGGAGCAATACAGAAAGTGTTCTTTCAGTAACACCATAACAAATGTGGCTATCTTTCTTTTTAAAATATCCAATCTAGAATTTACATTTTGTGTGTTAAGGCAGTGCCTAGAGGTCCCATTGTGCTAGGCACTGTACAAACACACAGTAAGAAACAGGTCCTGCCCCAAAGAATTTACAGTCTAAGGGCTGGCCTACACAAAAAATTTATACCAATTTATTTCAGATGGAGTGTGATTTTATATTGATATATTTAGAGTGGTACAACTCCTGTTGTGGGCAGGTTTCAAGGTGCTTCTAAATATATAGTTTATGCCTGTAAATTTATATTTATGTCTATTTCTAAACTGATTTAGTGAAAGTGGTACAAAAACTACATGTGGACAAGCCCTTGGCAGATAAGACAAAGCGTGGAAGAGGAAACAGAAGTACAGGCACAAGGTGTCTCAAAAGGTGGTAGAGGTAATAGAACCCAGGTCTCCTGACTCCCAGTCTGATATCCACTAGACCATGCTAGGGTTTTGGTTTTTTCCTCTAGAAGTGTGCTTCATACATTTAGGATCCAGAGAACTAGAATCAGAATAAAACAAATGTTTAAGTTAAATGAAATTTGGTGCCTAAAACCTTAACAATAGTCCTCCGCAACTCCCTTGTGAAGTTTAGCTAGAACAGTAAGATAGTTTAGAGCAGTAAATACAGATGTCTGTATTCATTATTAACATGGTTCCATTTTCTCTAGATTACTGTGATGATATATTATCCATATGACATGTTCTACACTGTTCACTCACCCAGTACCATTTAAAGTTTTGCTAGTACAGCTTATTTTGCTCAGGGAGTTGATTTACACTTTTTTGCCAGTATAAAAGGTGTCTAGAGTAGGAGGATTTGTCCATATAGCTCTACTTAGATGTACATAGCTGTAAGGGCAAACTTTTTCTAGAGTAGACTACGCCTACATCTTGTGTTTCACTGTAGGACAATACTTCAGTATTACAGTATATGTATTTTTTTAAAACTAACTACCCTGAAGTGCCCAGTTACTGAGATGATGGGTACCATGAAATAAATAAAATAAATGACAATGCATGTACTTGAGGATAAGTTAGCAGATGCAGAGTAATCAAAACAGATTAACTTACTTGTGATATTGTAACAGTCTTTGTTTTCTTTGACACTTCAGTTGCTTTATGTATAATGGACACATGTTCTTCCTTTTCCTCTTCAGGGCTTGGTGAGTCAAAGAAATCAGGACTTGAAAGGGAGGACTATATAGGCAAAACAATAAAACCAGATATTTTCATTCTAGACTACTTTTAAAAGAAGAAAATTACATAGCAAATAATATCAAAAGTTATACAAGACAACTTATAATTCAAAAGGAAGATTTTCAAAGTTCTGTTTTAATTAATACCTTGTTTTAAAGGGTGGCGAATGGAAAGATAGGTATTGAAATGACAAATCCGTAATGGCTATATTGCGATTTAGGGGCACTCTTTGTTCAGAAGAAGATGCACAGCGCCTTCCTGCCCCCCAGAAGAATTTTAGTTTAATGAGGCAGAATTTTCCTGAGGTTAATAAGGTGTGTGTGCTGCTGTTACTTCAGTTCCACCGCACTGGGAGAGGGTGCATTTGGCTTGGTCAGGTGCAGGCCTCACTCTGCTACTTTTGGAGAGGTTAGTGCTGCTCTCTGTACACAACACCTGCATTCCAAAGCCAGGTAGTGTCTAGCCTCTGTGTAGGAGCACAAAGAGGGGAAAACCCATTGCATCCTTTGCCCCCTGACCTCGCACACTTTGCATCTTGCACAGAATCAACTACAAACTGGCTCTTAGATTTATTTTAAGTAATGTAACCTTCCGTTTTTGTTCTCTTTTATTTCCACGATGAGCCATTCACCTTCCCTTCACTTTATTTTTCAGCATATGAACATGAGACATTAGTGTTAGCCGTAGCACACTCTCATTTAGACATCCCGACATGCAAAAACAAAAAATGAAAATTATACACAAAAGATTGAGCATTTGTGCATTATCAAATCTTTGCTTTTTTAAAACAGCAAAATGATATTGGTCACACACCAGGAAGCTGGGCACAGTTTGATCTATATAACAGATTCAGAAAAGTTAGAAAAAGATAGCTTTACTCCCTCTCAATGGTATTTTAACAGATGAAAGGGAGGTCCTATTATGTGGAGCTGGTAGTCTGGACTATGTCTTCATACATTAAGGGCTGGATTAATGCAGGGCCTATAGAGGCAGCAAAATTATAGATCTAGATATTGATATATAATTTATAGCATCTTCAATTGGCAGTCATGTTCCTTCACACTTCCTGGAAAGCAACAGCCAATCAGAGCTGCTCAGCAGACCTCCCTCCCTCTCCCCTCAGGAACTTGGCCTATTCTCACAGGAAGGGAGGGATGCCCCTGCTCACAGGTGGAGAGGAAGAAGCATAAAGAGCTCTGCAGCATTGGGCAGCTCCACTTGCTCTTCCCCTGCACCACCACCCCCAGCAGGGATGGCTTTTCTGTTCCTCCCTCTCCCACCCTGTAACTCCTGACCAGGGAAGAGGGAGGGAGATGAAGAACCCTGCTGGGAAGGGGGAGAGGGGACTCTGCTGCAGCCCTCTCTGGCCTGGAAAAGGGGGGTGAAGAACCCCAGTAGGAGCAGAGGTGAGGCTGGGGAGGAGGCACAGCCGATGGGGGGCGCAAGAGGGCAGAACTGATAGGGGGCTGGGCAGTATTGATGGGGGCACTAGATGTATGTTGTAGCTGTGTTAGTCCCAGGATATTAGAGAGACACTGTGAGTAAGGCAAATCTTTTATTGGACCAACTTCTATGGGTGAGAGAGACAAGCTTTGGAGCTGACACAGAGCTCTTCTTCAGGTCACTGATGGGTTCTGTGCAGAGGCACTTCAGTTTATTTTCCCTCTATTGACTGTCGTGCCATGTATTTAATGTAGAAACTTTTCATTTACATTTAAACACATTAGAGCTACAATGCGTTGATACATTTCTACTTACAGTGGTACACTTTTAATCAGGAGCTTACTCAGATAGTTATACAACATGAAGTGATGAGTAATTGACATACTTTCATGTGATTACATGCTGCACAGAAGTTTAAAAAAAAGATGGTGCAAGTGTCAAAATTTCAGACAATAAGGAAAAGAAAGTTAGATGTACCTTCATTCCTCGTGAGTTTAATTTATAATTTTAATTTCACAGTTTCAATAGAATTAATATAAATAGCATGCGGTGTTAATAGTATTACAGTGAATCTATATAATTATTTGCTTGAAAGATTTTGTTGCACTGTTGCATACTGGCTCACTCAACCTTTTATTTTGAGATTAATACATACAATTGGGCACACCACTCTTGGAAGGTTGTGAGCCCTGGCCAGTGGCAGTTTCACTAGAGAGCAAACACCTGAAGAGCCCTTTGGCCCACCAAGATTTGGACTTTGCCTTATCTGGCTCATCAGAAAATGTAACTGAATATCATTGCTATTGGTAATTAGGTAATTAAAGCCTTACTACTAGTTATGGCCCAAAATTAAAATGGTTCTGTTCATTTTAACTTTAATTCAGCTTTACCATATCACATTTAAAAAGAAAACTGAAATAACCAAGGTAATTTAACAACTGATTCTTTGGCATTGGACAGAGGTGGTGGTAAGACAATGAAGGAAAGAAACTGAATATGCAAGGAGGGACTCCCAAAACTGTAACAGACCTGGGCCCCTATCAAAATTAATCTGGCCCTGATACACACCTGGGACCTTTGGGTCATTGGTTGTTGGATGTGAGTAAAAACAAATACATTATTTAGCGCTAACAGCAGCTAGTGAGTTGCTTGATAACAGAATTGAACAGGATGTGTGAATAGTGGATAGGTTGCCTTTTATCATTGTGAGTACTTGCATGGGTACATGATAAGTGAGAGAAGGCCTGTTATTAAGAAATCACAATATTATATTACATTATTATATTATAACTGGAAAAAGTTCATGTGTAGCTACTGAAATTCTTCCTTTCCCCTTCTTGTTCAATCCCTTCAATTCCATCTTTTCCTGTCTTTAATTTTCATTTCTTCATTTTCTTTAATTGTGTTGCTACTGAACTTATCTGGCTGTGCCCTATACCAGTCACATGTTTAGTATCTGGAGATGTCAGGAAGAGTCTTTTGGGTTTTCAGATCTATTAAATAGTGACCCTGGGCACAACCAACAGATCATTTAGATTCCTTCATCTGAGACAAACTGTTTATTGGGTGCAGCTTGTTGATGTGCAAGTGATGTATAAGACATGGAGTCTTCTGTCAATTGCCCCTTTCTATTTCTTTCTTGTAGTGAAAAAAAAGAGATGAAATTTGAGTTTCTCACAGTAACTATGAGTCAAGAATAACAGCTCTTATAGAAGAGGCAGTAAAGTAGGAGAGAAACAACATGCAAACATCTTATAGGTGTCTGGACAATGAAATTGGAAAGTATGACTTAATATGCAGAAAAACTGCAATTGGCATGTTATTACAGCAACATATATAGAGTGTGTGTGTCAGTTATGAGTAGCCCATACCTTAACAAGAGGCTTATACAAAGACATTCCCCTTAGTCTGTGAAAATCTCCATTTTTTCCAGGGATGCATATGTTTGCAAAGAGGAAGGGTGAGGGACTTCAGTATATTTATCTGATTTACCATTTAAATAAAAATGCTTTTTGTAATCATAACAATCAAGGAAGAAGGCAACACCATTTGGCAAACAAACAGCACATTAAGTTCACTTTGCTAGAAATGTTGATATTTTGTTCCTGTAAAAACATAATGTGTTTATTGCCAATATAGCACAGAATTCAACTTGTATAATTTGACAGTGGGGGCAGTTTTGAAACCCCCCTAAAAAGACCGAGGAATAGTCTCCTGGGGGAAACTTTTTAAAAGTACTTGACACCTCAAGTGCAATCTGGTCTATTCCAAAAACTCTTATGATGTATTTTTATGAGCTCCAGTCACGCTTGGTGGGGATGATCTAGTAGTATCCAGAAAGTGGGTGAAACTCTTTCTTAGACAGGGAAGGTTCTTAAACTTACATTCAAAATTATGGCATACTCTTAAAAAGGGGCTCCCTGAGAGGCACTTCCAGCACTTCATTAGTACGTGTGACGCAGCTGCCTAAGCATAAATGAAAGGATTGAATAACACGGATACTTACCAAGAAAAAAAAATTCAGAACGTAATTTGAAAAAAAAAAGGAAGAAAAAATGAACATACAGATGTGAGTGACTGGGATGGAGGTCGTCTGCCAGTAGCTTTTGGTCTGGTTGTAGTTGGATGACTGAGCTTCTCAGCAACTGGTACTACAGAGTCAAAACCTTCCAGATCTTAAAAACAAAGATTACATAGAGTCAATTCTGAGAATCATTCTCCAAGAGAAACAACACAAACTTATATTAAGGCAAAACAAAACTCCTGTCTTTGGTAAATCTCAAAGAAATTAAGTCCCCATTACATCATGTTGCTTCTGTTATTTTTTCAGAATTTAGCTAAAAAAAAAATCTAGGGCAGCTGAAATCTAGGCACTTTTAACTTCTGCCATGCATGCTTGTTCTTTTGGCTCAGTTATAATCAGGCATGGAAAGAGTATAGGAGCCTTTTTTGCCTAGCAGTGCAATTAAAGCTGAATGACAAAACTGGCTCACTCGTGCGAAACAGAAAATGCAGCTGCAAAATTACCTTGTTACTGCTAGAGAGGCTAATCATTTTTCTATGAATAATTTGAGGCAGAAAATAGTATGCACATTCTTCCAATGTTTGTATCACCAATTCTAGATTTGCACTACAGCATTTGATAATGATCACTAATTGACACCTATTATAACAATGAAAAAAAACACCTCAGTAGACTCCTAAAACTCTACAGGGCCCAGGGTAAGTAGATTCAAAGAATAGGAACCTGGCTTGGCTTTATGTGACATGAAACATATTGATGGAGTATTTACTGAATCCAGACACATGCTAGTACTGAAGAAGGGATATGACATCTGAAGGAATATTACTGCTCTTGAACACATTTGAATCAGATGGTTTAATATCATTCATCTGTTTTGTTTCATAAACAAATATTGTTTCAGCCACCTCAACTTAAGATATTCTACTGCATTTGTGCATGAGATAGATATATCACCCCTCCAGTCTCCCTGTTTTATCAAATTACTGGAATATGTGATTCAAGAATAAACTCGATAAAAAAATGCATTGGCTGTGAACCCAAAACTACAAATCCTTCATAAAATATATAGACCAAAGAGTTAAATGGGATTGTATTCAGACCTGGTAAAGGAGCAATTAATCTTCTGCAGATCAAGCTATGTTGATATAATACACAAGGGTAATCTCCTTAAAATGACAGGTAATAGAAAATAAAGACCCATTACATGGATAAACTGTTGCACATTAAGTAGGAGAGCCAAACTGATTTCAGGTACTTAGAGGATTTGGTGGCTGGGAGTTAAATGGGATCTAGATTTTAAACTGTGTATCTCTGAGGCAGTAATATCCTACAGAATCCCTAAGGAAGTTATGTACACTACTTTCAATAACCCTCTTAAGGTCTAATGGTTATTCACCTCAGAATTTTAGAACATTTTAGGAATAACTCTTTCTACACACATCAAATAACTGCCCGTCCTCTAATGAATAAGCCTTTAGTGCGTCTTTTGATGGATCTTCTAACCTACATCTTAGCCTTGCCACTGTGGCATGTTACACATTCTGCCACTCAGGATTTGACAGTCTAAAGTTACAAGTTCATCTTTGCAAAGGTCAGGTGATGCAATGGGCCACTGTGGAAGAGCATGGATTAAACTTTAAAAGTCCAACCAGCCAACATATATCTGAAACCTATCCTTTGCCTGCTAGTGCTGCTTTTTGTTTGGGTGTAATTTATTTTCTCTGGAAATCTTAGTTCAAATGTGCCATCTGATTTTCAGTAATACCCCACTTCTATCCAGTTTTCCAGCTGAACTGATAAGGGACGATGAGGTTAAGTGACTTGTCTAAGATCACAGTTAATGAGTTGCCCAACTTGAATTTGAACCCATGACATTTGTTTTAACCACTATAGACAACTCTGCCCTAAGTTTTAAAGATGGGGAATAAAGGTACATTCTGACCCTCTTGACTCCCATCTCTTCCACCACTGAACCAAGAAAACACATTGACAGCTTCGCTGTTCTCTGTCTTGTGACTTTTGTACAAAACACCACTGTTCTCTCCTTTTTTCTTATAAAAGATAATTAAATGCTACAGGTAATTGGACTATGATGGAAAGCAACCAATGAAAAAGGAGGATGTTATTAATTCAAAGTGCTGGTTAGTAGATAAAAGGATCACATTTGATGAAGTCAGCTCTCTTCATTTTTTAAGTGTAGTATTGCTGATCCTACTCATGAATTATTATCAGATGTATGTTTCTAGATTTGATCAGAGTAATCAAACATTCACATTTTGTTCATTTTAATGTAAAAACATATGGGTCAAATTCAGCAACTGAATGCACGTGTCACTGAAGTCAGTAAGAGCTGTGAGCGTCTGAATGAAAAAGACTATTAAAAAAATTGGATGGGCCTTATAATAGTTTTGTCCATCATGAAACCTGACTTCTGTGAAAAGGTTCCATTAACAAGAAATAGACGGAAGGGTTTTAGCAATAGCCCAGTTTTTCAAGTTTCTGAATCTACAGCTGATCTCTAGAAAAATAGTTCAAACAGCCTATATGAGAAATACAGACTATAACAGAGAAATACAGAAGAGAGCACAGGGTGGAAAGATTTAACTTCTGTTATATGTTGCCAAACTAGTGAGATTGCAAAAACCCAACTGACACTATAAATAAAATCCTATTAAAGTGTAAGTCAGAGCCCAAAGAAGGACCCTTACTTGTACAAGACTAAAATAGCAAACTCATTTATAGAACTCCCTTGACCTTTTTTTGATCTTATTTAGACTTTTTGTATCTTTTTCAAATCCTTCCCTTTCCAAGGTGATCAGCACTTCAGAGTCAGACCCTAAAGTACTATTCACACACAGAGAACAAATTATATTAAAAATTAATTAAATTGGTACAAGAAAAACAAAGACTTCAATTGCTCAAACTAAAGCCAGGTCTCAGTGGTAGCAGAGTTGGTATATGAATGCACAGTGTAGAATGCTGTACAGTTAGGGTCAATTTTTTATTTACACGGCTTATTTTTCTGATTATTCTTTCCAATGAAATATAATGCTACAATGTTTTTTCCCCAATGTTCTTAGCCAGGTTTCCTCTTTACGAGATATATATTGTACACACATTATATAGGGGTGTGCAGAAATGAGAGCATTAAATGCTAATGCAGGCATGTGCTTATAAAACAGAATTTATAGATGGCTAAGGAAGATTATATTTGGGGGTTTTACATCTGAGTACAGTACACCTCCCTTGTTCTGGGAAACGTTGGATGCCAGAACAGTAAAAGGAAGCAGTGATTGTATCCAAAGTCTTGCTAATTGTGCTGCAGGCCATTCAGCAGCCTGTGATGGCAAACGATCGAATTCTTCTCACAAGAAGCCCTTCCCTTCCCTTCTCTAGTCTGACACCAACCAAGATCAGGGCAGTAGGCTTCACTTAAGACTCAGATGTAATCTTCAAATTCCTTAACTGAAAACTAGCTAATAACTATTATACAGATAAATAACTGCACTAACATTAATGTTTCGCTACTGAGGACAGTAATGCATTAGACTCAGCGAGACACAGGAAGACCGACCAGAACAAAATAGTCCCTTAGTGTATGTGATAAGGCAGCCCCGCCTGGAGTGCCCTCCTGCAGCAGGCTGTGGCATGACACATGCACCTGCCTCAGTTTCCCGCCCTCAGAGTCCCCAGGAATAGTCTAAACAGTCTTTTTGAGTACAGTTGGTCCTTGTGGGGGTAACTGATTACAAAAGAATGCCCCGGGAACATAAACCATAATAAGAAGTCAAAATACCAAGTCCCACATCCATAGTCCAGACACAATATTAAGTAGAGCCCTGGTGTCCCACAGCACACCCCAGCCCTCTAGTATGGCTCTGGTGTCCCTCACCACAGGTCACTCACAACCTTCAACTCTCCATTGCCCTCCACCTGCAGCTTTCTGACTCAGAGAGCCAATAGGCCTCACACTGCCTTCTTCTGCTCTCGGCCTTCAGGTCTTTCCCACCTTCTCTCTGGCCATGGCTTTCTGCCTCATGAAGATGAGCAAGCTAGCACCTCCACTGCCTCCCTAGCCCTTTCAGTGTCCTGGCTTAGGCTCTGACAGAGTGGCCAACTAGCCTCTGCACCGACTCCTGACTTCAGCCCTTTTCAGCCAGCTGGCACTAGCTCTTGAAGCAGGCCAGCCCCACTACTGGCTTTCTGATAATCCCTCCCTCTCACCAGGGAGGGCCTGCAGAGAGCCCTCTGCTCTCTACAGCTTTCCCAAGACAATGCCTCCAGTCTCCTAACTTCCAGGTCTCTCTCAAACTGGGTCTCAACTCCCCCACCCCCACATTCTCCCTGACCCTTTATAGCCCCAGGTGCTGCCCCACTCTCTGAATTGGCCAAACTGGGAGCACCTGCTCTGACACCAGGCCTGTTTCATTTACAGGGCCAGCCACCCTGTGGCAGTGTACTAATGCAGCACAATCTTCTTTAAAGTGTTCTGTTTGCTGTCCTAGCATAGTTAGTTAGAATGAAAAACTCAGCTGTGCAAGAAATATTCTCAGGTAAATTGGCATGGAAATCAAGAGTAGTTTTCCCATTACAATATCTTTTAAGGAGTGTGTGTGTGTGTGTAAAAATGTTATTGTTTTCAAAACAGATCCAGGTGAAAAAACTTAAGATACAAGTTTTCAGCCTGCAAGGGATTATTAAGTCATTAAGCAATTTTAAAATTATTGAGTTGTCAAGAAATAGGTGAGGGTTTTAAGCTTGTTTCATAAGTTTTTGTTGTTTGTTTTGTTTTGTTTTTTTCTTCTTCATTTGGATTCAGCTCTTTGGTGCTTTGGAAGAAACAAGCAAAGTGATTTCACCTTGAAAATTAATAATGAAAAGTGATCAATAGATAGTAGAATCCATATTTTTATAGTATCATGGATACTGAAATCTTGAAAGAAAATGAACATGAAAAGTCCATATATGGTGGATGAGATAGAGACTGATGAAATATGTTGTATGTTAATTAATGCAAATACAGTAAATACGGTTT